GCACAGATGTAATCTGGTTACAGGAACTGGGGGCTAAGAGGCCTCAGTGCCCCCCTTGAGATAGGGGAATCCCAGCCCCCTCCCCAGTTCCTTCTCCCCTGCTTTCCAGCCAGGAACTAACCCACTCTCCTCCAGCCCTGCCCCCCAGCCAGGGCAGCATTCCACCTCCCTTTGTTCCTCTCCATGGGGGTCAGCTGGCCAAACCAGTTGGGATACCCTCTTGTCTGCTCGGTGGTGCTACAGATAGCAGCCAGAGAGTTAGCAGGTTACCCCCCACTACGTCACAATTCCATCGATCTTTGTGAAATTTTTTCCCCTGATACCTTGGGGCAAAAAAATGGACCTTGCAATTTAGACAGCAGCATCTCTGCCTCTGTGTAGGGGATAGACAGCATTGGGTGCAAGCTTGTAAGTTGGGACAGTACAGTCCAAACACTCCCACTCAGAACCTCAGATCTTGGTCTGAGCCATGCACTTTAGCCCCACCGTGTCTCTTGCCAGTCAGAGCCCTGAATTGTGGCTCTATTTCCTGTTAATCTTTTGGCTGATTGTGCTTTTCAGAAATGTAAAAGCCTAGTGTGAAAAACAACCTTCCTGGTACAGAATTGAGTCCAAGGCTAAAGCGCTGGGAGGTCATGAAGTCAGCTGCATGTATTGACGAGAGATTTGTGAACTGCTGTCTTGCAACTTGGGTCATGCAGAAAAATGTTGCTAAAGGTTTCGAGGAGCATGTTCCAGCTGATTTAGTGATGACATAAGGGTTTATGAGTTGGTCATTTTAGCTGCACTTCCCTATGTGGGGTGAAGTACTGACCATTAGGAGAAGCATGTGATTTCTATTCCCCTTTTTTCTCTGCCATGGAAAACAAACTGCAGAATGTATGCATAACAGTGCCGGGCCTGATCATGCTGAGTGCCCTCAGCTACTGTCGAAGTCACTGGAAGCTGAACATGATCTGTATCTTTCAGGGTCAAGGTAGAGGGTTAGGAGAAATCAGGCCAGTCTCCTTTCTCTCTTCACTGAACCCCGGTGTTCCCAGCAGAGTGTGTAGTGCCAGGGCATGATCCTGCTGTTACTGTAAGGCTTTGAAGGTGCTTAGCACCTGGCCCTTCAGTCACTGGACTTCATGTGTGCAGCAGCAAAAGCCTCAGCAGCTGCAGTCTCTCAGCTTCTATGCCTATGTAGTTAAGTGCAACTGCTACAAGGAGCATGTGGTGAGAGAAACAGTTCTCAGTGGCTTCATCTGAGTGTCGCTTTCTTAGTCCATTGTTTGAGAGATGCTGATTCCCGTTACGGTCTCAACGAAGCAACATCTGTGTGTGCAAGAACTGTCTTCAAACACCCGACTGATCTGCACTGATCAGCTCAGTTTGCTCCGTTATAGCTCCCGGGGATCCACCTGTGCTTTTACCATTGGGAGCCCGATGCCTGCTTGCCTGCCTCCTTGGTCTGTTTGGGGTTTCTTGGGGCTCTAGGCCTGTTTTTCAAAGGCACTGGACACTTGCATCTCCTCATGACTTCCAGTTCAGTAAGTTGCTCATGGGTGAGACCCTTGACAATCTGTCAGCTGGGCTAGGTTGGGGGGGGGCACCACCTGTGTAGGCTGCTTGCCTGTAGTAGAATTGCTCCCTGCCCCGAAAACATTTCACTCGTGTGGCCTGGCAGCGACACAGTATTCTGTGTTGAGCGATTCTCAGCTGCACCTGAGATTGACAGTGTGTGCGCGCCAAATCTGCAGTGTTGGAAATCGGATATTCCTGCAGCACCCAGTGGGAATGGCTGACAGATTGCCTTACCCTCAAAGCAAACCTTTCTCATCTTCCTTTTTGTAATCTGGCATGTTGAGTACAGGAGCCCTGCTCAAGGCCATTTGCCTTGGGTCTCAGCCATTGCTCTGCTCCTCACTTCAGGGGAGTGCTTCCTTTCGCCTGAGCTTGGGTTCAGGGCCTCAGCCCATGCTTCTGCTCAGCTGACTTGCTCATTCTGGGTCGCTGGCAACACAAGTTATACACCCTGTGGTGTAGGCTAAAAGCAATACCTGGAATACGTCACATGCTGCGTGGCTCATGCAGATTCCAGCCTTGAAACTGCTTTTAAGCAGCTGGTAGCCATTTCCCTTGGTTGTTTTTAAGGTCTGGAGGAATAAGTACAAGCTTGGAAGAGCTGCCAGCATTCAGACGGGCTTTGGTTTAGGCAAACATTGTAGCCAGTGCATTTTTAGTCAGACGCACCAGTACCTCTGCAGCATCAGCTCTGTCCGCAATGAGAAACCACCCCCTTCCCCTCAACAGTCCTGTGCCATGTTTGTAGCTGTTAATTGTGATGACTGGCCTGCACAAAGGGTGTTGCTCTGGTGTCCAAGACAGTGAGGTGGCTGGGCTGTACTGCCTCTCTAAATGGCCTGACCATCGCAGCAGAGGCCTGCGGGGGGCTTGTAGAAGCAGTGCCCTGAATAAATATGTGCAGCAGAGGTGAGCTGCGAGGAGTTAAGCCACCCTGTCCAAGGTGCACGCCCGGGAAAGGACAGCGGTGCTGGCAAGTGACTGGGGCTTGGTGTTCTTTTTATGCTTTCTAGAAACAAATGAGTTTTGGCCTTGCGGGTGGAGGGTGTGGCATGTGGAAGGGGGTACGTGCTGCTGAGTAGACTCGCAATCTGCGAGCACCAAGGTGTCTGTGATACACGGCAGTGGTCACAAGCTCAGGACCTCGCCACTTTCTTTGAACACTTTTTTAAATGCCAAAAAGGGATTACTCCTGTGTCCTGGATCCTTTCTGCTCCTGTCACTGGTTCAATTCTAGACCAGGCTGGTGTCCCCTGCTGGCTGTTTAGGTGCAACTTGCTTATCCATAGCACAACCCACCATCACAACTGGCACTAGAGCCTTCAGTGCTCTTCAGTCAAGAACTGAGCAGGAGAGGCTGACTTCCCTCCCTTGGGTCCCTTCTCCTCTTCCCCTGAGCTGGCTCCTTCCACCAGGGGATGTAATGCGGGAAGGAGGGGTGTAGCTGTGTCCTGGCATGACAACCTGTACTTGCTTGAATACAGAAGACTGGTCCCCATGACTGACTCCTACACCTGCCATTAGCATTGAATCACAGGCTTCATAGATCTCAGATGGGAAGCAAACAGCTGAGAATCCAAGATTCTCTGAACCCTCTTCTTGAGACCAACAGGACCGAAGGAATAGAGAGAAGCGCCTTGGCACAGTGTCAGCTGATTGAAGTGCCGGGAAGGGAGGAGGTAAAAGAGAATGGGGCCATTTGTAACATTTCCTGATGCTACAGCTGTCGCGTTCCTAAACCTGATTCTGGCATGGCAGAACGGAAGGATGTTGGGGAAAATGAAGGGAGGATGTTGAATGGAACTAATGCATGTTGCAGCTGTGAGCTCCCAAAAGCACCAGCTTGAGTTCTCTGCTTTGTCTTCTGGGCCCTGGATCATCACGTACCGGGAGTGACTGACTCTCTTCCCCACAATTATAGCCAGCCAGTTGTAAGGCATTTGAATTGCTCTTACTGCTGGGCTCTCTAAGGCCTCTAGCTTGGTTGGTAATTGCTATGATACCACTTTAAATGCAGCATTCAGAGTGCTTTGAGGCAAATCTGGGCCTGGCCAAAAGTCCGTCCATGGATGCCTGCTCTGGAGTGAGAAAACTTGCAGTAAAGGTGACAGTGTTTGGATGCTGTAGCAGTGGGGCCAGGTGAGAATCTAAACATGTCCTGGAGGGATTGTGGGGAGAGGCTGAGGAGAGACCTGACTGGGTGCCTTTCACAGAAGCCAGCAAGGAGAAGTCTCTGAGGGACAAGCAACCAGGGGACAAGTCACAGGTCCCTTTAACGCTTGGGTCTTGCGCACCCTTTGTACAAAATGCAGGACAATGTAGCACTTTAAAGACTAACAAGATGGTTTATTAGATGATGAGCTTTCGTGGGCCAGACCCACTTCCTCAGATCAAATAGTGGAAGAAAATAGTCACAACCATATATACCAAAGGATACAATTAAAAAAAATGAACACATATGAAAAGTACAGGCATTGTCAGTGTGGGATTGGCAGAGCCAGATTTCTGCCCACATCCCTGCTGAATAATTCAAGGCCAGGCTTTGCATTCACCTTCGAGCAAGCCACCCCTAGGCGCTGCACAGTACCCTGGATAGCTGCCAGAAGCCGGCCACGCATGATCCCAGCTACATGTTTTGTTAGTTGTTGAAGTGCTATCAGACTATTTGTTGTTGTTTTGAAGACTCACTTGGCTACCCCCTGAAACTTAAATCAGATGGTCAGGGAAGTGCCCTGCCATACATAGGTGAGTTAATGAGCTATCTAGTGGCTTTGGGTCAAATCAGTTAACAGCCCATTAGCACACTGTCCCTGGTGTATCCCAGAGATGACTGGACTCTGGCTTACAGCACCTGTCAGATTCCTCATGTTCCTTAGGGCAGGGCCGGGCCAGTGCATCAAAAAGGAGATTTCTGCAGGGAAGACCATGTGTTAGCTGTCTCCATTATACTGCTTTTCCTCTTCCAAGCCACGGGTTGCTTTAGGAGTGGATGATTCAAATCTGCAGCACTCCCAGCTCTGTCTCCACGTCCTTCTTTGGCGAGTTGGTCCCAGAAGGAGACCAAAATTTTAATTAAAATTAACCAAAATTAATTTAAAATGCCAAATGACTGCCATAGCCAGCTGGCAAGGACTGTGGCTCTCCTTTAGAGCTGCATCTCTCTGCCTCCAGTGCCAGGATCTGATGTCCCAGACTTCCTCACCGCTGAGCCAGAATGACTCCTACACAGCAAGGTCTGCGGAGCTCTTGCTGCCTTCAGGGGATACTGGAAAGAGGCGACATGACAGTGGCCATGATGCTGCTTCTCACCCCAGAGCCGACAGATACAAAGTACAGGTCAGTGTGAGTGTTTTTCCCCTCTCAAATCTCAAGGTTTTCTCTACTCGGGAGCCTGCACAGATCCCCGGTGGTGTGGCTGGAGACATACCTGTGTCCCCCAGATAGGCTAGTGAGGCCCCCTTAGACGGTTTGACAAAAGGGGCTTGGAGTGTAAAGAGGATGCAGCATGGCCTAGTGGTTAGTGGAACACCTAGGCTCTGGGCTCACCTGCTCTGTGACTTTGGACAAGTCACTTCCCCTTTGTGGGTCTCATCTCCCATCTGTGAAGTGGGGACAGGACCCACCTTTGTGCCCATCCCATAAAGTCCAGTGCGTGCAGGGCTTGCTTTTCCGGAAGTGCGTCTTGCCTTGTGCTCTGATGTCCAGAGGATCCTGGGAGCTATGAGACAGAGGGCTGGGATGAGAACAGTGAAGCTCTCTGGCTGTCCTGGGCCCTCTGAAGAATTCCCCTGGTTGGACTGATGTTTTTACTAGGCTGTTAGCACTGAGAATCAAGCCTGAGCTGAGCAGGGAATAGCCACTTGGACCATCTGCCGCCTTAAGCCACTATATTGCTGTGCCTGTCAACATGAAACGTGGGCATTTGTTATGCTCTCCCTGGGTCTTCTGTCCCATGCTCTGCATGCATCAGAACTAGTAGTCTGGCTGGGTCCTCTCTGAGGTTTTACACTTACGCTTGTCCCCTCAGGAGGAGCATCGTGAGTCCAGACTGACTCTCAGGCCCCCAAGTCTCGCTGCGCCATACGCGCCTGTCCAGAATTGGCAGCACCAGCCTGAGAAGCTCATCTTCGAGTCTTGTGGGTACGAGGCCAATGTAAGTGTGTTTCTGCTCCTTGCCTCCGGGGGGAGTTTGTGCTCTGGCCTCACCATGCAGGGAAGTTGCAGCCCTTTTAACCCCATGGCACTTGTAGTGAGGCTCCTTTCAGTGCTCTCTTCCCGGGACAGCCTGACACGGCCACTGGTCTCCAGCAACTACTGTGCAGAGCCCTGCGCTTAGTCCCTTGGCGGGAGCCAGCATGAGCCATTGTTTCACGGTGGGGACGGGCTCTGGGAGGAATCTAGACACATTGGCCTGAGCTGGGAGGATGGTGCCTGCCCCAGGAACTGAGCTGGAGGGGAGCATGAGAGCATCCCCCAGGCCTGAATGTGACACCCCCCCTCTCCTGAGGGCAATGAGGAACCCGATTTTTCAGCCATTTGCTGTGCATTGCTCTGGGGGCTCGAGCAGTTTAGAGGCTTCCAAGCTAATCGAAGCCAGTAATAGTGGCATCCTTTCCTCACCTTGTTTTAAACAGTATCTGGGCTCCATGTTAATCAAGGATCTTCGAGGGACGGAGTCGACACAGGATGCCTGTGCAAAGATGAGGGTAGGTGTGAGGGGCTGCCAGGAGAAGCCTGGCGGGTGTTGAGCATGATGTCCATGGGGACCAAGGTTGCACATGAAAACTGCCTCGGTGCAGGGCTGAGGCGGCCTGGCATGCAGAAATGGTGCGTTTCTCTCGGCTGGAGGAAGTCTTGGAGTGAAATGTTTGTTCTCAAGCTGCATGTCATCCAATTGCCCTTCCCCCCTTCAGATGTCAGTCACTGGGAAAGAGGAGCCTTTGCTGCACAAGGTGCTTGTGTTACTGTGGTCCCAAGCCAGGTCCCTCTTCCATTCCGGAGCACTGGGCTCCCCCCCCCCCCCCCCCCAAAAAAAAAAAAAGCACTGGATGATCTGAAGAATTGGGCTGTGCCCAGGAAAGCTCATGATCCCATCTCCATGTTTTGTTAGTCTGTAAAGTGCTACCAGACTATTTGTGTTTTAAGTTTATCCTGTACAGAGTAACTCGGCTCCCCCTCTGAAGCTTTTGGGCAAAAAGGGGTAGTCATGGTGCTGGCTAGTCAGATCCCTTGCTGCAATACCTCCTCCAAGTCTCATTGGAAGTGTTTAATTTGTACCTGTTTATCTGTGCTCGTATTTCTGCAGAAGTCCACAGAGCATATGAAGAAGATCCCAACCATAATACTGTCCATCACTTACAAAGGGGTGAAGTTCATAGACGCTTCTAACAAGGTACATTTAAAATGCTCTTGGCTTAGCGTTCAGATGGGCCAGCATGTGCACCTTACTCCTCACTCGCCTTCTGTGTGTGAGACTTGAAGTCCTGTCAGCTGACTCTATAGCCACAAACATGTGTACACTCTAGCTAGCCCTGTGGAGCCAGCCTGGCCACAGGAGTCAGCCTTTGGCATCAGTAGTCAGCAGCTGTGTTCTGAGTGGGGAATCTTCCCAGTAGTGATGAAAGGGGAGGCAGAGAGCACCCATGAATTTTCTGTTTCCAAGCAGAGTTCATGGTGCTACATGTCAAAGGCAGTTTTACCTGGTGACTGGAGGAGGGGATGGAGTCACACTGGGAGCTAGTCTCAGGCTTGCCTTGACGTGCTCCATGCTGTACTCTGAAACACTCTGACAGGTGCTGCAGAAGAGCACAGCACTACTGGTCAGGGGGATCTAATGGTTTTCACTAATGCTCCATGGTGGCTGACCACTCGTATGCCTGCAGACTGTAGGAATACTGCTTCCCCTCTGAGTGGTGGTGATGTTTCTCCTTAGACTAAGAATTGGTTTCTAGGACACGGGCGTTGCAATGTGCCATACCCCTTTATTCTGTGCCTGCTTGGGCTAGCTGTGAGCTACTGCCCAAGAAACCAAATTCCTAATTCCTCCCTTTGACTCCTGCAAGATGTGGGACTAAGACTTGGGTAGCTCTGCCCGATTGCCAACATCTCCCATCTGTCTGTTTGCCCTTTTGTCTGCAACATGCTGCTCCATTTGTCAAGTGTCTTCAGATCACTGTACTAGAAACACATGGTGAAAACCCTAAGTTCATTTAAAAATGGCTCGAGGTGCTATGGTCCTGCTGTGATGGGAAGCATCAACTGTTCCCGCATCAACCGGTCTGGTGAGAAGTAGAATAACCTTCCTAGGAGTGCTAAGAGCACTCAAAGGACAGCCAGGACCTCCTCCCAATTGTACGTGAATTCCCTCATCCCAGTCTCTTACCTGCACTCAGCTAGGTGTTTTGCTGAGCTTGGATAGGTGGTCATGACTTGCTAGAGGGAGATAGTCCACCTGTCTGTCCCACAAAATCAGCTGTCTGTGTTTAACTCTGGTAGAATGTTATCGCCGAGCATGAAATCCGGAACATCTCCTGCGCGGCCCAGGACCCTGAGGATCTCTGCACGTTTGCCTATATCACCAAGGATCTGCAGACCAGCCACCACTACTGCCACGTATTCAGCACTGTTGACGTGGTGAGTCGCACATCTGTATTAAAGGATTCTTGCCTTGCCCTGCATCCTTATGTGCTACACAAGCCATCTATGTGTAGAAATGCCACTGAGACCAGACGGCACTGACCAGCTCGCTGCACACCAGGGCCTCGGGGGAGTTTCTCTAGAAAACAGGGCAAACCCCTACCATGGAGCTGAGTTTGTCTCTCACAAGGAGGAAGGACCAAATGGATGCTGCTGGGAGTTGAACCTGTGAATCCGAGGAGTGCTGAGCTTTCCCTTCCAGCTCTCGCCATATCCCAGTGCACGGGTAGATAATCACATACCATGCAGATTCTGCTGTCAGATGACAGTGGAGAGTGTTGCACTGTAGCTCTTCAGAAAGTGGAGATGGAAAAACTTCATTAGCTTTTAGGGGATGTAAAATCTTTTAATTGGTTACTGATTAAACGAGGGGAGGGGCAGCTGTGGGTAGGTGAGAGCATCTCACTGGTAAGCCTCACGCATAAAGGGTGAGGCTTACCTGTTAACCGTTAACATGCAGTTCATCTTTTGGGGCAAAATTGTTCCATCCAGTGATTCTCCAGGGACTCGGGCCTAGTCTACACACATGTATTGTTTTAACTACACCAGTACACCCCCTAATGTGGCCTCAGTCACATGGGTCTAAGGGTGTCTTATGCTGGTATTGCTTATTCCTCGTCCCTTTCATGTCAGCTGTCTTTTGTATAGGAGTCTGTATGCCTGTGTAACTGGATCCTCACTAGGGGGACTGTACCATCATTAATTCAGCAGAAAAGCCAAGCCCTGCCCCCTTCTGCATGACCTACTGTTAGAAGTAAAAGGCTTGAGGGAAAATAATGGTCTTGGAGCTAGTTCAGCAAACCTGTGAATAGATTCCAAAGGCAGTTCACTGCCAACTCTGTAGGCCTGCCTGGAGTCCCATGCCACCTATGGGGGAAGGCAAAGCCAGCTGATGCAGAATAGCTACTGCAACAGATAACAAGGCTTGCAATGTGGGCTGTTAGCCTCGGGCTAACACCAAGATAAGTGGGGCATCTTTGAAGCCCAAAGGCCCAACTCAGTCTCCACTCAGCAGCTGGCCTTCCTGTTGATGGTGCTTGTTTTCTAGACCCTGCTTGGAAGCTCTGTTACCAAGGGAAGCCTTCTACTTGCCACTAGTGCATGGATTTTTGTAGCTAGCCTCTTGCAGTGCTCTGAAATGGTTCTGTGTGGTTTCTCCAAAGAACCTGACGTACGAAATCATCCTGACGCTGGGACAAGCATTTGAAGTTGCCTATCAGCTGGCCCTCCAAGCGCAAAAATCAAAATCCACCAGTGCTTCGTCAGCAGAAGTGATAGAAACGAAATCTTCCAAACCGGTGCCTAAACCTCGAGTTGGCATGAGGAAATCCGCAGTATGTATGCTTGGGAAAGTTGGCTTCAGATTGTGGCTTCTTGATGGTATTTTGCATGGTGTGAGCGCAGTAGTGACCCCTGCCCCCAAATCTTCCTCCCGTGCAATAGGCTTTAGATTTCCATGTTTTTCTGTCCCTTAAGATGATTTTCAGTGGTGGGAGCCTTAATGTAGATAAGGAGCTAGTAGCTGCTAATGCGTGATTCTGTAGTTCTCTACTGAGTATACAACATGGTGGTAGATGTTTGTTGACTCCTTGCTTTCCCACTGGTGGAACTGTAGCAGGTGGGAGATGGATTTGAGGGCAGAGGGCAAACACCCCAGCCATGCACAATCCAGAGAACTGAGAAGAGGGCTGTGCACCAAGCTCGTATCCTGCATCGGAGTGATGTTGATACAATCAGGAGATGAGACTGGTCCGGAGCATATTTAAAATAGGGTCTTGGGATGGTTGTTGCTTTCCTTTAATGTCACCTTTTGTCTGTGTTTTGCTTGCTCCCATTGCCCAGGTGCCGCTCCCTCCCGATAGTCGCTGTTGTTACTGTCACACCTGTACTACACACCGTCCCTCCTATCTGCCGCTGCAGTCTGTTAGTCAAGGAGCTAAGGTCTCTACCCTTCTTGCTGTCTTGTGTTTTGTGGTGATGAGCTCTGAGCTTCCTTAGTTATGAGCAGGCAACCCAGCTCTCTTGAAAGCCAACCTCCTGCTTTCCCACGTCTCTGCTGTGGCCCTGTCTTTTGCTTTGTTGCTTTTTGTTTGTTCCCTTTTTGCCAGTTCTCTTATTCCTCAGGTCTGAGCACAGATGAGCTGATCATGTTCATCCCCCTAGTGCTGAGATCTCTGAACGCCCTTTAGTGCCGTGCTAACACAGAACATGCTGCTTCTCAGCCCATTAACATTGCTATCACATTTGAAGGTCAGGAGGCTGAGAGAAGAAAAAAGCTGTCCTTTGGCCAGGAGAGCGTCAGATAAAAGGGAAAAATCTATTTGCAGGGAGCTGGTTCCACACCCTGGAGGATCATGTGTGTGGCAGTGATGCTTTCCTGCTTGTGAAACTAGGCAGGCTGACCTGACTCAGATGGGGCCAAATCACAAAGCTCCGGGTGGATTGCCTCAGGGCCTGTGGTAGCATAAAACAGGTGCTTCTGATTTTAGTCTGAAGATCTGGCCACATTGGGTCAGGCTTCCTCACCAGCCTCCACTTAGGAGCTACTGCCCTCTATGTTTGTATGACTGTGTTGGCAGTGTAAGTGTCCTGCGTTATCGCTAAATGCTTTTGGAATGTCTCCAGCTCCAGCATGACTGTCCCAGCGTGCACGTTGCCTAACATACTATCTTTCCCTCCACTGTTTTCTAGCTGGAGCCATCTGAAGTGGACCAAGACTCCCAGTCTCATGCCAGCGTCTCCTGGGTTGTTGATCCCAAACAGGATTCTAAGAGGACCCTCAGCACTAAGTATGAGACCACTATCTTCTAAAAAACCAACCCTGTGTCCACCTAGTTTAACCGTGCCTTTGCGATCTGATCTGTCTGCTGTTCTAAACTCCCTCTCCCTCCAGCTGCTGGCACTGAGCTCCACCTCTAGGTGCTACACCATCAGAGGCAGCAGCACTAGAATACTGTAGACTAAGCGGCTTTTGTATCTGATCACTACTGAACACTGTGAATTCTCCTTACTCGGAAACAAGGGTAACATGCTGAGAGAATGACCTATTAGAGACCTGTGAGGTGGGAGATGCAGAGGGTTGGAAACCGCAAGAATCTGAGATGTGGATCCAGGAAGCCGCCAGTCATTTCACGTCTTTCCCTTTGCTCCGGCACTGTGAATCTCTGGGGGCGACATGACACTCCCCAGGCCTTTTTATATTTAATGTTGTTATCCTTGGACTGCTGTAGACTTCTTGTCTCCGAGGTGCGCACGCTCATTCTAGATTCTATACTGAGCCATGGCTGCATACTGTTTCAGCAAACTGTTATCCTCTGTACCTGTCATCTGAACCAACACTAATCACTGTGATGCTGCCTGCAAATAACACATTCACTAGATTTCCTCGCATGGATCCTGCGCTCAGTCTCTCTCCCTCCCCCTAAAGTTCAGTGTTGCAAACTTGATTACACAGCTAATGTGAGAGCTGGTCTGTGCCACTTGCTGAGAGGTTGCTCACACCCTGCCCCCTGACCCTTCTTAGCGAATAGGCTGTGTATACATAAGAAATGTCTGGCAGGGACTTCTCAGCTCCCCATTAAATCCCATTGTGTGTTTCATCATGTCTTGTTGGATTTGATGCAGGCCCCTTCTGTTCACACCGACCAAACTGATTGTGAGCGACCAGCTTGATTCTTCCTTTTTAGAACTATAAATAGGTTAAGCTTTTAAAGGCACATGTAATTGATCCTGTGCTGGGCCGGGTGCTGGTGACTGGACTATCTGATGTCTGACCAAAGCAGACTGACGAGCTGGGAACTTTGCTATGTTCAACAGGTTTCTTTCATATTCACTTTGATCACATTTCTCCCTTGGACAGGAAGAAAGTACAAGGCTATTAAATGCTGTGCAATGAGGGCTATAGAGATCTTGAAACACCTGCCACCTCCCTGTCCCTTGCCAAGGGGATTACCCTTAGGGATGTCCCTAAGTGCATGGGTACCCTGAGTGCAGCCACCTCCTCCTTTCCTTTCACTTTATTTCCTTGTCTCCAGAGTTTCTGACCCCATGGTTGGCTGCAACTGCTACTTTAGTTCCTAAATGTGATTCAGACCCCTTGCAACTGAAACTGCAAAGCACATGCTGCCATGCAGGCCAGAGCAGATCTGGGGCCTGGTTTGGAAGATGGACTAGATGTACCATAAAGCAGCTGAGAGCAGTTTGTTAGCCAGTGAACATTGTAACATAAATGCAGTAGAACCTCAGCTACGAACGCCAGAATTACAAACTGACCGGTCAACCCCAAACCTCATTTAGAACCGAAATATCTAATCAAGCATCAGCAGAGACACAAAAAAGCAAATACATCACAGAACTGTTAAACTACAAAAAAGGGAGTTTTTTTAAAAAACGATTTGACAAGGTAAGGAAACTTTGTGCTTGCTTCATTAAAAGTAAGATGGTTAAAAGCAACTTTTTTCTTCTGCATGGTAAAGTTTCAAAGCTGTAAAGTCAATTTTCAGTTGTAAGCTTTTGAAAGCACCATAACATTTTGCTCTGTTACAAATGTCATTTATGAGCAACCTCCATTCCTAAGGTGTTCATAACTCTGAGGTTCTATTGTGCTCTCCTGACTTGCCCTGGTGAACTCCTGACTAGGTAGTGCTTAGCGTCATCCCGGATTGAAGTGGGCAATATGTAGAAAGCCCATTGATAGCATGAAACTGTGGAGGAAGCATGTTCTAGTGATTAAACAGACTGGGGAGTCAGAGCTGCTAGGCCCTATGCCTGGTTCTATCACTGACTTGCTGTGTGACCAGTGTGTGTTTGAAGGATAATACCTCCCTTCCTTATGGGGGGATGTGAGGGTAAACTAGTTTGCAAAACAATTTGAGTGCCTCTAAGGAAGGCACTATGTGATTAGTACAGACTATGACATTAACCCACTATGTTCAGCTCACTCACTCTCCTGACAAAGGATACCCCAGACTCACAAGGAGGGAGCTTGGACCCTGACCAGCATTTTAAAGTCAGACGGAAAAGAGTCTAGGAAGCACCTGGCTGTGAGAGGCAGTGCTTAGTACACCAGCTATTCTGCCACTCACTGGTCAAAGATGGAGAACGTGTTTGACCCTAGTCTAGCTCCAAGCATCACTTATTTTGCACCATTAGCAGAATCTGCTTATAGGAGAATCAGCAGTGGGAGGTTTGCAGGTGACAGAAAAGGTGTGTTAGGAAGAGAACTCTGAAGAAAGCTAGACAGCTATTACCCGCACTATCCATGCCTCTGTCTAGGGATGGATGGTATGTCATGAACCATTTAATGCCCCCATCTTCTCCTCCTTCCCAAATGTCCATCTCCAGGAATACTCAGTGTTTCCAAACTGACTCTTGAATGTTAAGCAAACTCCATTTACTGATGCAAGCTAGATTGTCCAGAGCAGGATCTGTAGGTATAAGAGTTTTCTTCAAATGTCATAATCTTTGCAGCAGCCAACCACTTGTATCTTCAAGCCGACCCCAAATGTAGTTGTTCAGCCTATGTCTTCACTTACTATGTACTGGACTCAATAAGGATTTTAGTGAGCTATCTGTATTGCACCAGTCTTTTCTCTCCTCATTAGCCCAATAATTGTACTGGAATTTTGTTTCAAAATCTTTATCCAGCTCCTTTCTTGGCATGATTCTGACCTCCTAAATCCTCAGGGCTGTAGCATAAGGCAAATGAGTTCGGAAATAATAACCTGATCAGTAAATTTCCAAGATAGTAGGAAGATGTTTAGTAGAGCACTAGTGAAAATCAGTCTTGTCCATGGATTTAACATATCATGTACTATTGGCATCTATGGTACAAGATGTTTAGACAAAAGAATCCTTAGAGAGAGACTACAGTGACTGCTAAAACACTACAGCGTTCCTGTTAACTGTATTGATTTGGACAATTTCTGGAAAATACTATGACATTTTTACAGGCAGCTGCAGTAACAAATGAATATGGCAAGCTGGCCTAGACCCTTTCCAAGCTGTGAATGGTGCTCTAAAACGTCTTTCCACACAGATCAGAAGAGAAGTTCAGTAAGGCATACAAGTGGTTGTATGCTTTCATTGCTGAGTTTACTCTTACAGCTATCCACACACTGACCAGATTTTCAGAGGGGCTGAGTCCTTGCAACTGCCAGTGTTTTCAGTGGGTTCTCAGTGCCTCTAAAAAGGGGTCACCTGTGCATGTGCCTTTTTAATGCTGACCTCTGAACCTAGGTTGGATCCTAGCAGACCTGTCTGAACAGAGGGCTTATGCTGTGCACCTGTAACTCTCACCAATTTGTGGCGCTCTCTCACTGCGTGGTCAAACACCCTTCTCCCCTGAAAGCATTGGTTTGAATGTGACTCATTAAATTATTCATTGCATTTTTCCTTTCTGTTAACTTTGTCCCCTGTTCTGTTTGCCTCTGGAAAGCTGATCTGCAGGCAGCTGTGTGCTACCATGGAACTCTAATAACGGGGCAAAGACCTAAGAAGCAGTGGTACCCCCAACGTGATGAAGATCTCCACCTGGCACTGGTGTCTGCCTCTTTGAATGTATCCATGGCTGCTCAGTGAGAGCTTCCAAAGCTATGGGGGGAAAGGGATTCCAGCAACTAGCTGACAAAAGCAGCTACACATTTTTAGCAAAGGAGATTTGAGACTTCTGAGCTCAATGGGAGTGATGCCACATTTTCTAGTCTGTTGCAACAAACTTTGAGGGTTTTTTCCTTTTACGTGCAACAATACAAAGCAAAACAAATCCACAATTAAAATGTAGCATGTTGCGGTTTTGGGGGTGGAATGACCCTTATAATTCCACGGTACTGTCCTGTCCTAAAAAAGTATGGTAAAAAGTCTTAGCAGTGGCACTAGTATGTTTGTCTAATGGTACTTTAATTCACCTCAGTTCTAGGTGAGCAGCAGAGAACAATTCCAAGATTTTGGTAATAGCTGTTTATGCCAAGTAATGAAACTCAGCTGTGTGGGTTTTCATACTCTGCTTTTGAAAGACACTCCAAGCAGCAGAGGGAAATGGATGTAATTTAAGGAAAACAGTGTCTGCAAAGGAGTTAGAATCCTAGTGATTACTGCTGGATATCTCACATGGTACGAAGCCTGCTTTCACTACACAGAACTGGTGTGTTGCAATACTTGATAGTGTTTATGGTGAGGACACAATCTGATCTCTTTTCATTAGTTTATCATCACATTGAGTAACTGAAGAGTTTGCTTCTTTCTACACGATCTCATGCATCCACCATGTTTTTTAAATGCAGTTATGTGCTAGTCGGTTGGGTTTTTGAAGTCTGATTGTGGTTTAGCACTTCTTTGATACTAGCTCATTATTTAATGGCAATTAGTGGAACAGTATTTCAGAATATGAACAAACAAGGAGTTACGTTCTGGGCATTACATTGAAAACAGTTCATACCTGATAAATTCTAATAATCAGTCCAAGGATGGTTGGCCCCAAGCAATCTCGCATTCCTAAACAGAACACAGTTTTGAAGGTGCTTTGTAATTAAGCTTCATTTAAACTATCAGAGTATTTCTCAGTGGCTTTGGCTGTGATGGTTGTGTGAACTGGTGTGTTTTCCAGTGCCCTGACCATTAGGACCTTGTTGAAAGGAGAGATGGTAAAATGGGCATGACTTGGTTCTTGAGCTGTACAAACAGGATGTGCCGTGCCATGCCATTGCTGTGGTCTCAGGTGGGTGTGATGGTTTGGTGCCCTGCTGCTTATAACAGTGTGTCCTAGCTATTTGTTTTTAACTCCAATTGCTGCTGTATCTGTCAGTTTTTAATGTAGTCTCATCTTCAGTTGATAGTGAGCACTGAAGAAGCAAACAGAAATCCCCAGGGCCTAGATCTGTCAGTGATTAGTGGACAGAAAACAAGCTTAAAAAAATAGTGAATTTAGGAAACTTAACATTCCATCTTATGCCTATGTTGTAGCTCACTCATGTAAGTGTAAATTTTCAGTGTGTTGGCAACAACTCTGTTCAGAGACCGAACCCATTTTGGAGGAGGGTGAATAAGCTTTTGAAGTTGGCTTGCAGAAGAGGTGGTGAAAGACTGCAGTCTTGCTGTTGTCTTCAGTGACCCAGCAGCAAGCTTTGCAGCTCTCTTGCCAGATGTTTCTTTTTTCAGGAATACCTATTGAAGAGGAGCTGAGTTTTGGCAGTGTATCTCTTGAAGCTTGGTATGCTTTCAAGGTACTTGCCTGCTAGGAGCTCTCCTACCCAGCCTGTATTTTCCGGAGTTCAAGTGGCTCCCAAACTCCTCCTACTTTGCCATTTGTACAGTGTTCAGGCTCTTGCATTCCTACAGGGATTCACAGTATCTAGAGAAAAGTGTCCTAAATTTGTGGTGCTGAATGCGATGAATTTTTCAAAGTGCTGAGCTAGTTCTGGTAGCCAACAGTGCTCCATTTTCTTCCCTTTTTCAAAGGATAAGAAGTCTGTATTCTAGAGGCAACCTCCATACGTATCTGGTATGGGGCCAGGCTGAGAACTCTAGGCAGATACTAAGATTAATAGCAGAATTATTGTCTTAAAATGAGGTTGAAATCATTGTATGTATTCAGATTAAAACTGCTCTATCCTATTTTATTCTGTACCTATTAAAATGGCAGTCTCAGCTGTTGGATTTTTGTCCTTCAGTTTGCCTTGAGACTGTATTTTCTAGAAAAAAGGAAAGATGATTTGAGGTACATCCCAACTCCTCTCGCAGAGAAAGGGTATTGTGATATGCTTTGAGTGGGAAGCTGAACTGGACTGCTGCCCTTCTTGAGACTGCTGCAACATCCAGACCAGACACCAAATGGTATCTCTGAGAAACTCCATTTCTTGATCAAATTCAGTTACGTCAACACTCTCTCACTAAAGTGTTCCGATATCCATCATCAGGATTTTCTGTGGTTTTCCTTTATGCTTACATCAGTTGAGTGCAGTAGGATTTTTCATTTAATAACAAGCTCTCTATTTGCAAATCAAAGTTCCCTTTTGGATCCTACACTGGCATATTTATAGGTACCTGTACAACCAGAAGCAAATCTGATGCTCTTGAAATGGGAGAGCTAACTCAAACTTTCTTTTGTCTCAGGAAAAATAACCTGAGATTCCCCAATAAGGCACAGAACAGTCAACTTCAATTTGCAATGTAGACCTTTTTGCTAATTGTGATGTATGGCGGTGGGACTGATTTGTAATAAAAATGTTATTTAATCTGTCTCTGTATTTTGATACTTGAATTATTTCTTTTATTTTCCTGTATATACAACTGTTAATCTGTTTAAATTTTTGTCTGAATTTTAAACATCTTGTGGTACCAAACTTAACCAATCTGTGCAACAACATAGACTGACCTCACTACAACAAGGCGAGATTGTAAATATTTCTGGGCTTCCAGCAGTCGTTTTGTTGTTTTCATAACTGTACAACCTAGAACAGACTGAATTAATAAATAAACTCAGACACACAACTTGACTTTGTTTGCTGTGATGTAGATATTGTGGAAGTCTGAACTGGTTGCCTGGAACCAAAGCATTCAGTGTTACCTTTTTTTTATGTCAAGGCCCTTTTCATTAAAAACATGCCCCATATGCATGTATAGCAAAGTGCCTGAACCAGAGACTGGCTGAAGCCCATACAAGTCTAATGGCAGCAGCTCTCATCCTGAAGGCTGAAGAAAACTAGTTCCCTTTCCTCCATCCCAAACTTACAAATAGGCAACTTGAAACATGGAAGGTAAGTGGACTGGCAGGCGCATAACCTATGAGTCCTTGTTTGAACTAGAAACACGGCTGCTCCCTACAGTAATGCACATATGAAAGCACAGCTACCCCTCCCTAGCCATATTCTAGCTAAAGCAATTCTTGCTGTACAACATCAATCATTTGATATAATGGAGATATCATTGTACCAGAATATTGAAGACACTGGCAGCGGTGGTAGCACAATATTGCTCCAGTAGAAACTAAGTTTTCTATTTCTAGTGTTGGTTCAAAGTGTTGGAAATTCATTAGTATAGAGGAGATGGAGGAAAACAGACATTTAACCATACATGTTAGTGTTACAATTTGTATGCCAAATAAAACCTGGTGCAAACAATATTACATCCATAGGGGATTAAATGTTAAACTGAGCTACAGAGCTGGCATATATGAAGTAAATCATATTTTTAGTTGACATTGAAAAATATATCCAGATTAGAAAGTAAGCTCTATCATCTTCAACACAAATCATCTCTATCAAATCCCCTGTTCTAGGCTGAGACAAATGTGTGTTAGCAAAGCACACTAAAACCCATAGTTAATGTCAAGGGGGGGGGGGGGAATCAGGATGCATTACAGTGATATAAAAGCCATGTTTCACTGCTTTCCCAGTTAATGGGACAAACTGTAAAGGGAAATATGAAAAAAACAAGCATTTTTTGTTTTAAAGGTTTATTCAGACCAATGGGGAATTGGCAGTTGGTATTTATGTAACTATCCCCAGCAGCTATGATGGCCCAGCTGCACAAGTACTCTGGATACCATTACACAGAACATGACAGCTATTTAGTTGGCTGTAACAGACTTTACAAGCCAAAGCATGATTCTGAAAAGTAGCTGGGTCCTCTTCCTCTCTGCCCCCAGTGCATGTAATGCTTTGTGAGAGGATTAGAAAGAACCTATCCCTGCTTCTGCCTCTGCCCCTGGGAGAAGAACTTCCTTTAGAATTGCTAGGTAGTAGGGTCCGTACACCTGTCTGTTATGATGAATCACACTGCTAAACCTGTGGCCAACTTCCAGCAGTTCTTCCTGAACAGGAGCGAGGCCTTTTGGGAGATTGTGAGAGTTCTGGGCAGTAGAAGACAAATGAAGACTGAGAAACGAATGGATCCGCTGCTCTGGAGGTGTAAAAGGAGCAGTCACAAAACGAGCCAGTTAAGAAAAGTGAAAACCCTACAATTTGAGATCATTATCAGTATGGATACAGCTCTTGAGAGAACACAAGGAAAATCATTCTGGATAAAAAAGTGCATAGTAATAGCCAGAATGCAACAGGGAATTTAAAACGCTTAATGCAACAGGGCCCAGACCAATGGGGAAAGACTTCAGACTGTAGTTTGAAAAAGCTTGAATGACACACAGATTTCATTCCTGGCTCAGTGACTGGCTGGCTCTGTAACCATGGGCAAGTCACTTGACTGTCACCATTTGGGGTGGCACCACTTTAAGTGCTTTTGAGAGAGTGTGGTATTGGCATGGAGAGCTTTTCACTGCTATATTAAGCAATCACAAATAGTAATTTGACTTCTGGAGAAGGAGTAAGGATCTCAGTCTATGGAAACTAAGTATCTGCTTGGTGGCAGTCTACACAAAGGGGCCAAAGACTGAAATTTGCTCTCACATCAGGCCCACCTTACACAGTTGTATATGCTAGACCAGTCCTGGGAGAGCACTTCACTCTAGGGCTCTACAGCCCCACACACAAAATGTAGATAAAGGTGTATGGTAGCCTAATTCTTAAAGTAAAAGCACATTAGGCATTTACACACTGACTCACCAATTATGCTCCGCACTGCGTTGTCCTTCTCTGCAATGCTCCTTATCTGGCCTTTTAAGGAAGAAGATTTCTCACTGGTGAAAGCCGGGTAATCCAGCTGCAGAAGAGCCTCACTAACTTCACGGTGCACATGATTGCTGATGTCCAGCAAAGCTTCTTGAAACCTAAATCATAGAGGCACATTCTATATTTTGGACTGCTCCTCACCTTTGCTTCTCAGCAAGGATAGTGGAACAGCTACAAAAATCCCCTCACAAACCCATAGCCAGGAATTTCATGATAGCAATATAGGGCAGGGACAACCAGCCATACTGCTGTGGTGGTCCATCAACTAAGCTGTCCCAGTGCTGGTTACGGAGACCAGAATGATCAGCAGTAATGGTTTACCAATTGTAACTGGGAACTGCTCCCCACAGCCAGGAGTTGTCCTCTTATTTTGAATTTTAATGCTAAGTTCCAGAGCTGCTTCCTGCAGCTCTTCTCATTTCCCAACTAACATGTGTTTACTCACGTCTCCCTCTGGAAAACATAAAAGTGAAGCAACCCACCTGGTGCAAGGAAGCCCTTCCAAAAGGGCCTTTGTTACCCGTTTCAGCCTATCTACAAACACAGGCGAGCTGAACAAGGTGCTTCCACACACGCTGCTGGACACAAGCAGGACTGCAGCTATGATTGTTAGCTGATTCACCTGCAACTGTATCTCCTGCAGCCGTGCTTGATCCATCAACAGAGTCTGCAAAGAGAAATCAAATCCCCCCCGTCAGCATAGGAAGAATTAGGCTCACCAAGCAGCTGGGTTCTCAAGCAACTGCCCTTCCTTTTTTTCTACAGCTAAATGAAAGAGGGCTCCCTCAGGCAGAAGGGAGCAAAATTCATCAAGCACAACAGAAGCGGGAATGGCCTTATGTTTTGTAAGGGCCCCAAGCTAACACAAGAGGGGAAATAAGGTGCAAGCTTGAAGCTTTCACTGCCAAAAAAGGAGAAGAAGATGCAGTACAGAGCTATTTTCTCCCTTGCGGTTCTGTTGCTTAGCCAGAACCAGCTCATGCTGTAGAAACTGCACAGGATTTAGGGCCCACGCACTTGTTTTACTTATACGTAAGGCCAATTCTAGACTCTCTCAAAAAATGGCACAGCAGTACTCCGCTGACTAAGATTCTTCCTACCTCAGGGTATTTCTCTGTCCCAGGCTCCCAATGAAGTAGGTTCATGTATCCTTGGTTTAACACAGACATAGGATTTGGTGTAGCTGAACTCCTGCTGACAGCCCCCAACGAGAGTGCAGTGGGCGATCCATGGTCCTCAGGATGGGATGATGAAGATGCAGAGACTTCTGCTGCTGCTTTGCTTAACCACTCAGTTGTGTGATCCAGACTGTCTGGAACAGGATTATGGAGTGAGATATTAGCAGGAAGACTCAGACTGGGCAAGATGAATGGTGAAGGAACTGTTCTCACTGACTGTACTACACTATACTCTGAATAAGTAGTATGTCTCAGATGGGCCAGGAAGCAGTACTAGCCCCTACTACTTGGGAAATGACTAACACCTGTTGAAAATTTTGAGTCAGGCTGATTCCCTTAGGACACAGCCATGTCACTGTCAGGACAGGGATGTTATCCAGTATCAATAGATTCAGGGCTAGTCTCAGACAAGCTTTATGGCGTGCAGAGGGAGGGAATGATCACTCTGTGTAAGAAACATCTGGTCCAAATATGGTGAAATATCTCTAACAAACCAGACAAGATCTGCTGCAAGCCAGCATAGCTGGTACAGGGAACAGCAAAGTCTGCTCTCTAGGTGGTAACTTGTTTTTGATTCATTCAGCAAATCCACTAAAATCCCCTGGGAACGGTCGGCCAAGGGTGACTGCAGATCTGTTTAACATTCTGCCCTTTTCTCTGAGGATCTCAAAGCATTGTATGCACATTAACACAGTCTCACAACACACCCTGCGATGGGTATGTTACCTATATTATTCATGAGAAACTGAAACAGATTAAATAACTCACTCTCTTTTAAAAGGTACATTAGTGAAAAAGATGGAATTAAAACCCTCTGTCCTGACATCCAGCCACTGCTCTTGCCACCAATCCATCCCCTGGTTAGAGGTATTTCTCCTTATAATTATATTTGACAGTTCCTCCTTTCCATCTTGTTACTAACTCAAATTTGCATGAAAGATTCTTAACAGCTCTGTTTCTATTTGCTGCTTTTTGTTTACCCTGCATCTGAAGACACCTGCAGAATGTCTGCACCCATGGGCTGATGTCAAACAGAGGATCAGTTTCAGGTGGGCAAAGAAATAATGAGAAATGAAGTAAATAATTCTATTTCTGTACATTATTCCACAATAGGAAATAGAAAGGAAAGTGACCAATACCCCATATACAAAAACACTTGTTTCAAACAGAACTTTTAAAAAGGAATGTGCACATTTTAAATGCTTGAATAAGCTGTTGTTACAAACACTTGTTTCTCCATAGGGCTACTGAAGCAGTCAACTGACACAAGTTTACTTCAAACCACCTACCCAGTGTGCCAAGGGACCACTGCTTGTAAGCTTACTTTCCAAACCCACCAACCTTTGACGGCTCTGCTGACTCAGTCCACTTGCAAATGAGGGCTTTCTACCCTGGACAATATCTCTGCAGCCCCTAAGATCAGTCTCAGGGTGTGATCCCTTCCCCAACTGGCGTACATTGGGAATATTAATGCACTTTGGATGCATGATGCCCTACTCTGGTGCTCAGTATTACTAATCCTTGTATCGAGACACTTTATGGTGACCCAGAACCCCCCTATACCACCTCTCTTCCTCCTTCCCTGTTCACTCACTAGGCAACTTGGCTAGGAGCTCCTGGAATTTCTTCTGTTCATAATGGATAGCATGATCTTGCAGGTGGGGCCGGAGGCTCTGGATGGTAAAATTTGCCATGTCCATTTTCATCAGATCCAGCACCCGGAAAATTTCCCTGGGGTGAATAAGAGAATGTGGGAAGGGGAGGGAGAATGGCACTGCAAGCGTCTCACTGCAGTGAGTGCCCCCCCTCTAAAGACAAGAGACCCCAATGTCATGTTGGCTACAGAGAGACCCAGTCTTCAGTTCTGGGCATTCCAAAGTGTTGGAGGAGCCAATCCAACCCCGCACACTACCCAGTGGCATTCTTTTCATGCAGCACAGACTTTTTTATAATCTAGTTTTTGTGCTGTGAAAAGGTACCAAAATGCGTGCCCCGGAATCCATCCAACTTACCCTTCACAACTAGTATAACAGGGCAGAGCAAGCTGCTTCATTTTTCCTCCAGGCTTTTCTACCCTGATCTAAAGGGGCCCCCAGCGACATCAAGAGAACATGACCTCCCATAAGAGCTATGTTGCACTGAATGCAATCATCTTGCAATGGGATAGATTTATGCATACAGAAGACAGGATCTGGAACCAATCTACAGACTCATTACAAGAGGTAAGATGATGGGACTCGGAACTTAATGCAAAGTTTACTTTTATAATAGCTTGGAGGCACTCCAATATAGTGATGAGTCCCTAGATATAGGGGAAATAAGAACCTATCTTTTGTTTCATCCTGTGTCCCTCTGATATGGGGGGGAAGGTTCTATGCAGTGCCGATTACAATGGAAGTGTGTGAAAGGAACACATGTTCCCTTGGAACTAAGCTGAACCTCTAGTTCATTTCACATGATTCCCCAATACCCCTGAACAGCAATTTAATCCAATATTCATTTTTAAAACTCATAATACCGACAAGGTTAGGCTCAGTATAGCAAGAGTCAGATGTGATGTGATTATTGGGCAGGGGGCAGTACGTTTCCATGCCACAACATAACAATTGTAGATGCATTCATTTATGGGTGGCCCACCTGAGCAGCTGAACAGGGTCTGTCACACCCTGTAGTCTCTGCACTTCCTCATCTCTGATGGGTGCACACAGCATCGCCATTGTATCTAGGATGTACATGGCGAGATTGGGAATGTCTAGAGCCCCGTGCTCAGCCTCCTGTCTGATCAGCTCCATGTCCAGGGCTTCTTCAATCTGGCTCCGCAGACGGCTCTGCCGTGGCAGCAGCAGCAACAGTATGGACTGCCCCAAAGAGAGAGTCAGAAAGACAAAGTCTGTATGTGTTCCAACCTAGGAACCAGGCAACTTGCCAGGAACTGCACAAGACTCAAGGCTGGCCTTAAAGGAATGAGCACTCAGGTGACTCACACTGAAAATCAGGAACAACCATAACAGCCATAAGAGAGTTTGTCCCTATTCACTCCCTTAAGGCTTCACACAAGATGCTAGACCCCAACAAACGTGTGATCTCTTCTTTCCTTTTATATCAAGGGATATCTTTTATTGTCCTGCAGGATGGCTTTTGGGGAAAGGCGTTGCCTCTCAGGACTATAAAAGGAGAGAGGTATGGGATAATTAGTCTTGGAAAAGGGTTTTGAGTGAGTGAGAGAGAGAGAACAAACTTACAGGAGTTTATAGAAAACAGGGACTGGATGCTCAGAAGGGCACAGTCACTGTTGGCCTAGGGGGGATTTTCATGCAAGATGTTTTCTCTTTACTTCATGTGTCTTTTAGGCTTCTTTAAGAAACCTAATGAGTAAAATTTTAATTAAATCAAACCCATATAATACATTTTTAATTCAAGAGGCATGTATTCAGTCTACAATCCTATTAACTGAGACATCATCTACTGTTCTTAGAACCCAAATCGTCTGTCCTGAAGTCAAGACAGGGTTTGGTCCACTGAGAGAGGTTCAATCGAGTTAAGGGGGAAGAGGTAGCCAAGGTATTAATGAATGCAGCTATCACTAGGACAGGAACAGGGATGTTTAAAAAAAATGTAGTAGTTTTCCTTCCGCCTACAAGCTAGCCTTCTGCTCATGTCTGGTGAAAATCAGAGGGTCCAATACTAATGAGATTTAACACATCCCTTAATTGGACCAAGATACTGCCTTTCACCTGGCTGCAAAGATGGTGTTGCCAGGAGAGCTTTGGTTCCTTTGACCATGGGATGCTGTTCCAAGAAGGACGGCTAAGTAGGGATGGGGTTCACCTTTCATAAGAACGGCCATACTGGGTCAGACCAAAGGTCCATCTAGCCCAGTGTCCAGTCTGCCAGCAGTGGCCAATGCCAGATGCCCCAGAGGGAGAGATCACAACAGGTAATCCTCACGTGATCCCTCTCTTGTCACCCACCTTCAAGGAAGGGGAAGACAATATTTGGATACAAACTGGCTAACCTAATGAGGAGGGCTTTAAATTAGGTTCAGTGACCAAAGCCCATGGATAAGTGAAAAACATGGAGACCTGGAAGATGGGTCAGAAATGGGAGGAAGCATGGGCTATAATAGCAGAGATAAAGGAGGGACAAGGCAAAACTGGTGGGCAAAATCAAATCAGTATTTTAGATGCCTGTATATAAATGCAAGGAGTATGGGAAATAAGCAGGAAGAACTTGAAGTCTTAATAAACACAACTATAATTGAGATTTGGTGCAATAATATACACAACAGAAATATTGGCATAGAAGGGTACAGCTTGCTCAGGAAGGAAAGGCAAGGAAAATAGGGAGGTGTTGCGGTGTATGTTAAAAATGTATATCCTTTGACTGAGGTGGAGATGGACATAGGAGACAGACCTGTTGAGTGTCTCTGGGTTAGGTTAAAAGAGGCAATAACCAGGGATGAAGTCATGCTAGGGGTCTACTACAGACCACCTTCCCAAGCAGGAGAGATGGATGAAGCTTTCTTAAACCAACTAACAAAATCATCCAAAGCGCGGGATATGGTGGTGATGGGGGACTTCAACTGTCTAGACATATGTTGGGAAACTAACACAACAGGACACAGATTATCCAGTAAATTCTTAGAATACATAGAAAATATGTTGCCATAGAAAATATGGCAAAAGACCAGCTTGGCTGAACAAGGAGATCTTGCATGATCTCAAAATAAAAAAGGAGTCATATAAAAAATGGAAACTAGGACAAATAACAAAGGATGAATATAGGCAAGCAACACGGGAATGCAGGGGCAAGATTAGAAAGGCAAAGGCACAAAATGAGATCAAACTAGCTACAGGCATAAAGGGAAACAAGAAGACCTTTTATAAATACATTAAAAGCAAGAGGAAGACCAAGGACAGGGTAGGCCCACTGCTTAGCGAGGAGGGAGAAGCAGTAACAGGGAACTTGGAAATGGCGGAGATGCTCAATGACTTCTTTGTTTCAGTCTGCACCGAGAAGTCTGATGAAGAAATGCCGAACAGTGAATGCTAGTGGGAAGGGGGTAGGTTTAGAAGATAAAATAAAAAAATAAGTTAAAAATCACCTAGAAAAGTTAGATGTCTGCAAGTCACCAGGTCCTGATTAAATGCATCCTAGAATACTCCAGGAGCTGATAGAGGTGGTATCTGAGCCTTTAACTATCATCTTTGGAAAATCATGGAAGACAGGAGAGATTCCAGAAGA